AGTTCTCAACAATGTAACTATGCTGATGACAACGTAAGTTCAAGGATAGAGTCTTGAGAGAGACTTCCGCATTAAACTAGAAGCGTAGCCGTTCAATACGCTAATCATTAAGATAAATATCCGACCAGAGACACCATAACCTTTGAGCATGTGAAGAAGGCCAGTATGTGAAACGCCTTCGAGATATCTAAAGCTACAGACCGAGTCTCGCAGTTTTTATCTAAAGCCTGACAGGCAAGTTCATTAACACTGGAATTTAAAATTTAAAATTATGAATACTTACACAGATACGCCTAAAAATAATCTAAAAATTAAAATTTCAGTGTGTCCAACATCTTTGCTGTTTCCTATGGGTGCATGTTTGTAACTGACAATTGCACTTTTATGTATCCATCTCCTTCTTACGCATATATAATTCCATCATCAAAAACACTATTTTAGTGCGATGAAGTCCTTTTAGAGGTCGAAACATGTTACACAGATGTTTTCCCCTATCTATCTATCTATCTATCTATCTATCTATCTGATATATATAATCTGAAAATAAAATACTTCTCGGGCGAGGAAAGGACGGGTTCATAAATATTTGATATGTTCTAAAATGTTATATTCTTGTTTTATTTTCGTTGTTTCAACATGCTTGTATGCGTGTGTGTGAAAATAGAAAAAAAATAAATATATATATATATATATATATATATATATATATATATATATATTAAAGAAAACAGAGAAAAAGGTGGGTTTTTTTTTTTCTGGTATATTGCTTTATACCTTCACGTCCTTTTTTTGTTATCTTCTTTTTTTATAAAGTTAGAATTACTCTTACCCACCCTTTATTATTATTCATTCCCCGGGTGTAGATGCTTAATATCCTTGTATTGAATAATCCCCAATACACTGAATGACGGTCTGAAATCATCGAGTCACAGAGGCTATTTACTAGTGAGAAAGATATGAATGAATTATAGCAGTGACAAATCGATGAAGAGTCGTAGAACAACTTGTCAACATTTCACCACAACCAGGCTTTGGAAAGACGTCGAGGCCATTGATGTATTTGTAAATCTGCGTTTACTTACACCGAGTTATTTGTTCGCAAAATCGTTATGCATTGAGTGTTTTGTTGAACAGTGAAAGGTGACAGAGTTTGGACAGATTGAAAGAAACAAGTGAAAAGATAATGTGGGATGTTTTCACACCTACATAATATTATATTCACTTTTGAACGTTACTATCAACAAAAACACATTCTTTACTTTTTCGAAATCTGTCCTGTTTTTCATCATATTCATATGTTATTCACTTTTCTTCTCTCGTTAAGTTTGTGTTAAATTTCAATTTTTGTCTCTCCTTCTTTCGTGTGTATTTCTTTCATATTGCAAGAAAAACCCAAGGATTTATCTAAACTACCTGGGTCAAGAAGCGATCAAACTTTTCAGTTGAAAGAATAAATGAACATATCTCTATTATTTACTAAACTGAAATTAGTGCAGATATGAATCAGGATCGAACTTACGGCAGATAGATAGATATGTATGTATATATAAATAAAAAGAAAGAACACTAAGATATATAATCCGGTGTTCTTATAGATATTTTTATTTTTATAAAATAGTGCTCAATGTAAATTTACAGAGCATTAATATTATAAATTAATTGATTTAAAATATGGTTTTCCGCCATATTTTAAATCAATTAATATATATATATATATATATATATATATATATATATATATATATATGCGTGTGCGTACTGCAGCCAAAAAGTTTAGAGCTACTTTACATTTCTTTTTATATACAAAAAAGATATATTTTTATATATATATTTTTTTAAGTAAAAGATATAATTTTAGTAACTGCAGTGTATTTGCTTTTATTTCGACAAAATAATAAGCACTTAACTATAAAAAAATCTACAACCTTGCGTTTTCGCCAATAAAACCATCAACCTGCCTTAATTACTGCTTTAGAAATCCATGGTATTCTTTCAAGAGTTTTTTTTTAGAAAAAGTAGATGGCAGATCTTCCGAAGTATTCTTTAAGCAGTGAAAAAGTTAACTCCTATATATTGGGTATTACCTCCCAACTCTCCTATCAGATTCATCTTATACCAAAATAAATGGGTGTGAGGTCAGGAAATTGACGCGGCCAAGTCAAAATTTCCAAAATTTTGTTCCTTTTTCATTCGATTTTATTTTGACATAATTTAGAAGAGTGTCTTTTATCTTTTGTGAGCGAGACCGAAAAACAGAGAAAACGATGTTCGAGTTCAGGAAATGTTACTCAAGGTCTGTCTGTCTGTCTATCTATCTATCTATCTATCTCAGTCTATTCAGATCTATCTATCTATTTATCTATCTATCTATCTCAGTCTGTTCAGATCTATCTATCTATCCATCTATCTAAATCTCTTCATATCATTGGTTATTGTCGAAAGGAATTAAGTTCAGCTGTCAAATCTGGAGCATTTTTCTTTCTATTTCTTTTGCTCTCTTTTAATAATCAAGTATTTACCTTCAGCAGCAGTTGTCACATTCGGTGCTCCAGCTCTTTTTCTTTGTAACGATTATTGCACCCATGTCGAGTAATTTTCAACTTCTTGGAAATTTGTCTTCGAGAGAAGCCTTCTTTGAATAAAATTCCAGTTTGTGTCCCCCACCTCAATGCATAACTGCTTTGATTTTGCCATTTTGTGCAAATTACTTCAAAATGAAAAAAAATAATTAAATACATTTATAAAAAATACTGTCGCAATTGTCCAATTTTTTTTCTTCAAACAGAAATAGTTATATATGTTTTGTTTACAACATAAGTCAGCGCTGAGCTAACATTTAGAATATGCACTTAACTTTGACAATTTTGGTAAATGATGAATATAAATATAATGTTTCTGATACAAATTGTTTATAATTTATCAAATTCATTGTGAAGAGAGGAATCCAAATTTTAATATTTTGGTAGCAACATGAGCCTGGAGAAAGACTGAAAGATAAAAGAAAATACACTGTCGTTACTGAAATGTTATCCTAAAAAAAAATAAAATACAAAAATATTTCATTTTAAGTTGTTCGTTAAATGACTGCAGATGGCCCTAAACTTTATTAAATTTTTATTTGTTAAAAATCTCATTCGGATTAATATCTTATTTTTATGATAATTTTAATTATTTTAATCATTTCAACCAAAGCAAGACGATAACGTTACTTAGACCCAAGTAGGGGGTGGAGTTATTGATGGTGAAAGAAGTCTTAGTGAATAGAAAAGACAATAAAAGAACAGATATCAAGGGAACATAAAATGGCAATTAACGCTGTATTTATATTTATTGAAGATCTTCATTGACAGGAAACCTAGAGGAAAGAAGAAACACTTCGAATAGAACTTACGGCTACATTTAGCAATTTTTACAGTAAAGTAATGAAATACAGCTGCCAATCTCCTACGTTTAAATTCAGGAATTCGAGTTACCAAAAATTAAACCGCGTCAAAACAATTGCGATGAAAAAATTAATGAAAAAGGCAGACAGAAGCTATGTTAGGGAGACGGATTGAAACTGAAATACACTCTGATAATTTTGCTGATTCTTCTTTGGACTTTGCCCAGAATCTATGGATATATAGCAGAAGCACCAGCCCTGATGTAACAACAATGTCCAATGCACGGACGAATGGTAGATTTATAAAGATGTTAGAATCGTTCCAATTCATATCAATGGAAAACTTTCGACTGAGAAATTATCCGACAGGCAACAAGCTCATGGATCCAACACCCAGCACCAGATGATAAAGTTAATCTCAATCTTTGCAAGTCCTGAGTTACAATTCTTAGTCTAAGTAGAAGAAGAGTTAACACGAGTTTAACCAGAGAGAAAATTTTGCAATACGATAAAAATAAAATCTTCGTTTCCGAGTTGAGGGTTAGGGTTAGGGTTAGGAGTTAGAAATGAATTCAGAATCCTGTTCGATATGAATGAAGAGTAACTAATGCACCAAGCAACAGAGGAAGTTAAAAAAATGCATCAAGCGAAATTAGAAAAAATAAAAAAATACTTAGAGACTTGTTATAAACAAGCGTTGAATGTCATTATATATATTATTATATTATTACAGCGTTCTTATTATTTGATTGATGATTTTGGCCAATGCAATCTTCAGTTCGCCTCATGTGTCTTTTGCAATGAATCGTTAAAGGTAGATATTCGTCTTCATAACTCGAACAAAAAAAAATTAAGAGAATTAGGAAACTTGGTGTTAAAAACTTGTGTCTATAAAAGCGGTAATTGGCAGATGAGAAAATAACTCCTAAAATATATGGAATATTGAACGTATGTCAGATTAACAGACATTACAAGTAAAGAATATAAGTTTGAAAGAAAAACAGAAAACGATGTTCGAGTTCCAAAAATGTTACTCAAGGTCTATCTATTTATCTATCTATCTAACTATCTATCGCAGTCTGTTCAGATCTATCTATCTATCTATCTATTTGAATCTCTTCATATCTATATGTATCTTTTCATATCTATCTATCTATCTATCTATCTATCTTCATATCTATCTATCTATCTATCTATCTATCTATCTATCTATCTACCTATCTATCTCAGTCTGTTCAGATCTATTTGTGTGAAACATAAAAAGTAAAAGAAAACAACGATGGAAAAACTGTGTAGAAAATCAAATATCTAAATGATTTATGCAAATTTGTTTCAAATTATAGTCAATCTACCTACTGAGAAGAATTACATTTTCTCTTTGACGACTATTTTACCGTATTTGATTCTTTTTCTGATTTATTCTACTTTATTTTATTTTCTTCTTTCATGGTTTTTTAGACAAACTGTCCTTGTCCCTCTTCATCCTCATCTTCAATTTTATGAAATTCATTCTTTGATTTCCTCTACAATGCTGATCTTTTTTTACTTGTCGCACTTGTCAAACTTACACATTTTTCGTTCTACAGTAAACCTATTCGCTGTATTATCGTTGTTGAATTCAAAAACAGGTATGACGAGATTTGTTTTTCGTTACATTTTCACACAAGGAGAAAAGCTGAAAGGGTGAAGAATTGACGCTGTGTTTGGGCGGAAACAACATGCTTAAATATCGGCTGTTGTTGGCCTTCGGACATGAAGCGGTGAAAAACAGCGAAAGGCGAACCAATGAATACAGGAGATGTTTGTCCTCTAAAAAGATTAAAGTAAAATGGTAACAGATAATGGTGGAGGGAGAAATGCGATAAGGTGTGGAAAAAAAGAAGTATAAAAGTATGAACAAGGGAATGAGAGAGAGAGAGAGAGAGAGAGAGAGATGTAAAGAGAAGAGAAAAAGGATGGAGAAAGAATCAATTATAGAAAACGAGAGATGTAGAAAGAAGAGAAAATAGAAATTTTGAAAGATCGGGAAAAAGGAAAGAAAATACAAAATGGAACTAAATGAAATATATAAATAGAAAGAAAGAACGAATGAACCAAGGAACAACCGAAAGAAAGAAAACTCAATAAAAATGTTTGGAAAATATCTACTGTGATGATTTACTTGTATATCATATGTGTGTATCAAAAGTATTTTCATTTTTACAGACCTTTACTCCAAGGCTTATTTAGTGGAAACGTCTGAAAATTATTTATAACTTCTGGCAATAAAAAGGCATTTTTAAAACTGTCAACAGAGCCGTTCAAGTCACTGACAATGTAAAGAAATGTGACCAGTACTATCCCCATTTTTCTGTATTATATTTCTTCTCCTTTTAAATAAAGCTAAGAAGTAGACAACTTGAAAAACAAAAAATAAAACGAATATATTTTTGATATACGTTAATATTTCATGTGAATAGCATCAACAGTCGATCTCGCTCTTTTTCTCTCTTTTCTCTCTCTCTCTCTCTCTCTCTCTCTCTCTGTGTGTGTGTGTGTGTTGTGTCTGTGTGTGTCTCTGTGTTTCTGACTATCATTATGTAAGTCTTTTTTTTTCCACGTCTCTTCTCTCTTCTCCTGTTTCAAGTCTCATCAATCCTTGAGGTCAGAATCTTGTTACCAGTTTCCTATTCTTTTCGAACCAGTTACAAAAAAAAATATTCACTGGAATAATTTCCTTTTTTACTTTGCCTTTCTTTCTCTTCCCACTGCCAAACATCCAGAAAGATAACACGGAGAAAATCCAGATGTTTTTGCGACTGTTGCTCTCACAAATATGGATTTATATTCGCTGCTTCATATACCCTTGGGTGGTCGGTACAATTTGCCACACTCTGTCTTCTCAACATTTCTCACCGCCGTTCCCCATTATTAGAAGTACACTTGTTATTCAGGATTTTAATCTAAATTCCTTTCTAATCGTAATCTTGAACAGGAAGTGCAGCACTAGATTACGTGTTAACATCATGGAAAATTGTATCGGTGATCACAAATCAAATGTTTACCCCGTATTCATACTTTTGGTCAATGCCTGAATCTACTTCTCTCGCGCGCTGTCATTTTATGAATTAATTCCTGATGCGTCCACAATGTAAACCAATCTCTGATCAGTATTATGATATTTCAAGTGCTGATGGGAACTGCAGTGTAACCGTGATTGTCCTCAGAAATGCCATGAAGAACTCAGCATGATTCATCGGTCCTTTGAATTGGACAGTCTGATTTTGTTTATTTTTAACAACTTCTCGTTCATAGATTTTACTTATTTAGAATTAAATAAAACGTCAAGATTCAAACTTAACAATCTCAAGGCTTTAAAAGTGACCGAACCAGATGCTATTTAAACTTCATTTCTTCTACTTAGAGGCTACTTTAATAGCTACAGCCGGTGACGTTAGAATCATTTATGATTCGTATTCGTCTGCGTGACAACATTACTCTCATCAGGGAGAGTAAAGTAAAATATATGCCTTTTAGCTTTTTATGTCGAAAAAAATTTGTATCAGCGAGAAAAAATGTTGTGAGGAAAGTCGTGTATATATATATATATATATATATATATATATATATATATATATATATATATATATATATATATATATATGACTGGTCAAAGAAGATTTTTGAAAATGGACGAAATTTCAAACGTGCTGCTATCAAGTATCTGCAGAAAAAAGTGTTCAGCTCCCAAGGACATTCCTGCTGACATTTGGAGATGACACACCAGATTTACTAACAGTGCAAAAGTGGGTCGCTGAATTTAGGAGAGGAAGGGAGTTTTTTGAAGTGAACGCAAGTTTTGGACGTCCAGCAATTGCCAGCACCGACGAAAATATTGTGTTCACCACACGGTGATGGGTAACAGGCAGAGGACTATAAATCAAATAGCTAATGCTATTAGAATATCCCGTGAGAACTTGACATGACGAAAGTTTCTACTCGGTGGGTGCTACTTCTTCTGATACCTGATCCAAATCGTACTAGTCTGATCACTCCTCGGGAAAATCTGATGATGTTTGAGGCAAATCTAGTTGGTTTCTTGAGCTTTTCCCAGGATGGCATTTCATCACTTTGAGCCAGAGACAATCCATCCAGTAGAATCACCCTCTCCCCACCAGCTCCAAAGAAGGTCGAAGTTGTTTCATCTGTGAGGAAGGTGATGGCATCAGTTTTTTGGAATGCAAAGAGCATTGTGTTTATTGATTAACTTCAAAAGGGACACACCCTCTATGGAGAGTACAATGCCAACTTGGTTTCAATGGCTGTTGAGTGTGACTGTAGCTTTGAACTGTTTGATCACCTTACCTATTCTCCTGATTTGACTATCATTTGTTCCCCAACATAAAAAACAATATTGTATTGATGATGACTTTATAACTGTAGTCGATAACTTTTTTGACCTACAGTATGAACAGACTTCTTTGAAAAGTCAGAGGTCAGTTTACCAGGAGAGCAACAATTCAGTTAATACCAAGAATAGTTGAAACTAATACCTCACAGAACATGCATAATTCATTTGAACTTTTCATCCGACACTCGTATTGATATAGTTTTCCTTGCTTCTCTTTTTAGCATGCTTGAAAGTCGACTGCGCACTTTGATAAAAGTTGAGTTCCGTAAATTAAAGAGAAAATTCGATAAATACTACAAGAATTTCTTGAAAGTCGACTGCACTAGCCGATTAAATTTGTAATCACTAAAAAACATAAGAAAAATAGACAAAATTGTTATTTAATGAAAACAACGAACTTTTAAATATAGCTCTCACTCTATCATATACACATACTTTTTCTCTCTCTCTCTCTCTCTCTGTGTGTGTGTGTGTGTGTGTGTGTGTGTGTGTGTATGTGTGTGCTCCTTTCAAGAATATTATCCGAATAACTTGAGTAGTAATAACAATGACTAACGAATTAGGAACGATGGCGGCGCGAAATTAGTATTCGTACGGATTTTTTGTAAAGAAAAGATATTTCGGACATACATACGATTTGAAAGAGATATCTACAAAATGATTTGAAATGTCGGTAGATTAAAGGTGATATTCTCCTTTCAAGTTGACAATAATGAATAGATAATATTTCTGCTATAATGTTGAGTTGACAATCACATGCTAATTCGTTGACACAGTGACGAGGAACGAGGCATTAATCCTAAAGAGAGCGCACAGATACAACAATGATCGGACTGCCAAGTCATTAATCTCACTTTTTTTTAACGGGTATTGCGCTAAAATAATAGCTTGGTTTTGAGGAGATATAACCAAATGAATTTCATCTTGAAATTCGTTAGACAATACGTTGAACGATTACACTCCAAATAGAAGGAAGGTTGCATTACTCTTCGGTCAAAGGACTTGGCGACAACACATGGCAAGGTAAAGACTAATTACGACAGCTGAATGTTGCATGAACGCTAAAAGGCGGTGGGGGGCATAAAGAGAGAAAGGAAACTGGTAAGATAAAAAACATTTTCCGGACATTTTAAAAGATAAATTGATGGAAATGCATATGAAGCAGCTTGGACATGTTTACAACGTGAGGAACGGAGTGGCTGTTAACTGCAGTGCAGAATAACGCGATAAGAAGAAATGATCTAAAATGCCAAGATAAGACAGAGGAAATAAGCAAATGAAAATTATACGAAGACAGAGATAAGACAATCAAGCACGTAATAAGCGAATGCAAAAGATAACTTAGAAATAGTATAGAAACGGGCACGATTGGATGGGAAAGGTGATCCACACAGAACTGTATCAACAACAATGTTGTAACTATAAAGACCAGAGAAAATGTGAGAGAAAATGAAAAACATAAAACCCTCTGGGACTAATATTTAAATACATCTCGTATTCCAGACAAAAAAAATGGATCTAATTATAGTGAATAATTATGGGATTGTTTGGTTCCCTGTCCTAGGAATGCGCAGATAGATGCCGGATACATATGTGGACCTCATCAAGTAATTCAAGAAACAGTACAGCAGGAAGGTGACAGTTGTTCCAGTTGTTGTTGAAGTACTGGGAATGATCCCAAAAAGATAGCTTAATAGACAGATCAACAGGACGTCAGAGGTAAAAAATCAAGACGGCAGCAAATATGGAAAGCGGCTGGAATCTTGAAGAGACGACTCAAAAATCATGATGTCATTTAATCCGCTGTGCAAAACACCACCTACTATTGATATGGTAATGGTAATATTTGCCGTTTCCTTATAAGGAAACAGTCGGCCTTGATTGACTAAGCTGTCACTGCTGTTCTCAGTTGAAATAAATAAAATCTTTCTCTTGAAATAGTTTTTTTCAGCTACTGAGCTGTTAATGCTATTTTTATTGTTGATGGAGACTTCCCTCCTTGGCTTTTGTTTGGGGTAGTGTGGAAGTATATCTTCTTGGTTTGGTCATCATTCTTGTGTCACCCATTTTAGTTGTTGCTCCTGTTGTAATTCATCAAGCGATGTGGTTCCTGTTATTTGTATCTCGCTGAGGCTTACACGCTTCACTCGATCAAAGCCATTTTTAACAATCTATCTGAGAAAGTAGTTACATACTACCGATAGCTTGTATATTTCTGAATGCATCTAAACTTGCGGTGCCGGATGAAACTGATCCTGGCATTGCCTATTCTATATTCAATTGTTTTATCTCCTATATTAAATTTGTAACTGATCCATACAACAAGCTATTTAAGTGTTTAGTATTACTATTAACTAATTCCACACCCTGAATTTTTTTGAAGGCTTCAGGATACGTTCCGTCACTACTTCCATCCCAATTCCAGATCATAGTTTCTGTTTTGGAAAGGTTTATCTTGAGTCCTATGTCTTGTAATTCTTGGTAGAGGATGCTGATATTTTTGTTCAAGATCATTCTTGTCCCAGTTGTGAATACCTATATCATCAGCATACCCGCCTCATCCTCCATACTGTGACTTCGAGAGGGGAAGCAGGAACGCTGTTTTCTATTAGTACATTTTTTTGGGTCATTGTATTTTATGCTTAAATGATCAGTGCCAATATCTTCACATTTTCATAATTGTGCTTATACATGCGCAGAGTATGGTTTAGGAAGAGACTGAACTGATT